TACTTACTAGTCTAGTACCTAGTATAGTANATNATATATNTATNTATATATATATATATATATATATATATATATATATATATATATATATATATATATATATATATATATATATATATATATATATATATATATATATATATATAGTATATATATATATATATATATATATATATATATATATATATATAGAACAAGAGAGGATGAGGTAATCATCCTCTAACTAATGGAAGGTGATTTTGACTTATACACTAAAAACAGTTAGAATAATGAGACAGTTTTACCCAGTTGAGTCACGGGTGTATGTTGAAGAGTGGTCCCGCGTATAAAAAGGAAAATAACTAAAACTTGATTGTAATTTTTGCTACTGGGTTGAAGTCACCCACCAAAGGTTTTCCCTTAGACACCCCCTCCTTCTACTACTATTTTTAAAAATACATAAAATACTCTCTGCCTACATAAAGTTTGAGAACATATGCAGTTACTGGGGGTGTCAAACTAACAAGTGTGAAGTTGTTAACCAGAGAGACAACGACGTGTGCTTTGACTTCTTTCACCACACATCTAATGATAAATAATCGATAAGCCGTATTATGTATATGCTTGCCCTCGAAGATTAAATCTCGATATTGTACTTCCGTTGTTGCAGCTCAAATTTATATTTAGTTAACATACCCACGACTATGCTAGTGACATTTAGAATGCTAATGACATTTGGAAATACTATCACTACTATGACTTGCCAAACAATCATATCCCCGAGGTCTCATGTTTGTATTCGATATGCACTTACTTGTGTTTACTGTATATAAATATCCGAAGTTTCTGATTGACTTTTGGCTCCTTCGAGTCAACTACTGAACAAGCATGTACAATATACTTACACTATACTTAAGTGAATAATTTCTACTGTATCAGAGCACAAATGAGTTTAATTCCTATAAATAAATACTGACGAGTTTTCTGGCATACCAGCGTACTTGTGACTCTGTCTATCTATAATCCGCTGCTAATACATAATTTGCACGAACGCGATTGCTAAAAGGTTCAATACACATGTATTGCTGGGTGTGTAATATATCAAAATATATATGTCGCATAGGAACGTATCTCCTACATTGTAAAACATATAATCTCGGCATTCTATAGAACTTTCTTGTCATATTCTCCTGAATTGTATAGAATTCTATTGTATCGTACACCGTGCCTTTTCAAGAGGCTATGACCAGCGTACAACCTTTTTTCTACCTTTTTAATTGCGTTCTTTCCTTACTTTTTTGTCTTCAGTCATATTGTCTACAAGTGGTCTCAAGTCCTTTTCTTATACACTTACGGCTGAGTGAATTGATAGACAATCATGCACTAACGGGAGCCTGTTCTTACCAAATGCCATAAAGCACCTGTGTACTTTTGAAACTTCTTTTCCATTGCATCATAGTCACTACATATACGGAGTCGTCCTGAGTACAGTCTGGTAGTCCGTCGAGTATACGATTGTACGAGTTCTATTACTATTCCGGCCGAGATCCTCTTGTTTCCAGATTAGAATTCTTTATCCGGCATACTCTCGGATCATTCACCACTGGGATTGATATCACCTGTCGACTATCGTGTCTCAATTGACAAGAGCGCGGGCGTCAGGACCCTTTCGCGAATACCGCCGACCCGCGGACATGCCAGCTCACTCCTGAGAATGCGATTCCATCAGCTTACTTCCGATGTTGCTTCTATGCCAACATCAGTGTGTGCGTGTGCGATCTCCGTGTTGTAGTGTTAGAGCACTAGATAGACTAAAGTGCTTCTAGGTACGTCCATACACCTAGTGCTTCTAAGTAGGTCCACACACCTTTGTGGGGTTAAGTTGTTCGTTTCTATACTAAAGTGCGCTTGGAGGGCATGTACATGAGAGTGCGCCAGTTGCTAACCAATCCTCGTTCAAGCATTACGTCGCCAGGAAGTTCTTGAGGCGCATTTTGATATGCTTGAGCTCCATAGCAAGTGAATCGTGCTTGGCGCCATTTTCGACCAAGTCCTGCAACGAAAGCATAGAAGTATTAGCGATATTTGGCACACTGGAGCAGAGACAGTGTGGTGTGCACGACCGCAAACGCGTCACTACACAATAAATATAGGCTGTATGTAATCCGGTCACACGTGCATTGGCGCGCAAGCATAATATAAACGCGACACGTAATTAAAATAGAGTCTCAAGCAATTCCAGCAGCCAGCCGCGGATTGTTTCTAAAGTAGCACCCGTCGAACAGTGACCGCCACAGAAAACGCTGAATACTAGTCCAATCACACACATGCGACATATTGGCGTATAAGAATGTGTATTAATGATATCAACGTACGAAGGTGGATGCACACCTTTCGATTGGCCTGGTATTTCTGTTGTATTGCTGCTTCCACGGCTTTGATCTCGTCCGAGTTCTCTCCGTACTTTGATTTGTACTCGACCTTCTTATCATACAGTACCTTGAAGTCGCCCTCTATCCGTTTCTTCCAATCTACGAAACCAAAGTAACCGTCAGAAATGCCCGAGAAAAAAATCCGTTTGAGATACTCGATACAGTTTAGAACCCTCAAAAATCCGATGGCGGCACAGAACGACAAGCCGGACTACAGAACGGAATAACCCCGCAGAATTAGGCGCGCAAGAAATTGTAAAGGTATATTTAGTATGCCTTGAGACAACATATCTACTAAGCAGCTCCGTCGCTGTGGACAATACTGTGCATAAACCTTACCTATGAGGTCTCCATATTGTTTGTGCTTCCGGTCAAATTTACTGTAGTACTCCTTGTATTGTTCCTACAGTGTGATAGAGGACAGGCAACAAAAATAAAGTGAAGATCAGAGATACTTTGAGGTGGGGAAGGAGAAACCACGAGGTGGTTAAACGATCAATACGCGGCACCAAGCAGGCACACTACAGGCGACAACCCACCTTTGTCACAGCGCATACAACACAACCATCTTCATCCACACCTAAAATTCCAAGGGATACTCTACTCTTGTTATTCGTACCATCCCATTCTCCACAGACAAACATTCCAAGCACATACCCTACTCTTGATCTTCGTGTACCGTTCTTCCAGATTGATAGAACGTCTGTTGCTGTCCTGCAGCGAGGCCGCATTGCTGACTACATCCACGCCATTCCCCGTCTTCGCCCGGTCCAGTTTATCCTTGTTGTACCCGTTTTGGTTGGTGTCTCTGTTGCTATTGTTACTACTGCTAATCTTATCCCTATGTGTGTCTTGTCGCCTGTTTATACCGCTGTTGCTGTGGGTCACGGGTCTGTTACTGGCCGAGCTCTTGAGCCCGTTCGTGTTTGTCCTGTTGTTGGCCGTTGGGCTACGCGTTGATTGCGTGCCTGGCCCTATGTTCGTGTTCAAGGTCACACTCAAATTACTACTGCTCATGAGTCTGTTGCTCCTATCCCTATTGACATCCCTGCCATTGATCTGCCGGGGACTTAAATTGGTATGCTGCTTGCGCACAGTCGGACTGATACCGGTGCCCCCATTGGCATGAGTATTCCCGGTACTCATACTGTCAGTTTGCAAATTGGTTGAGCTCCCAGGTCTGGCACCCAACAGAGGCGGTTTCCCAGCACCCCCTCCCAGTCCCGAGCCATTTGCATTCGGCTTTGGACCTGCACTCACTTCACTATATGCCACGCGTGACTGCTTATTGAAACTTGTGGAGGAATAGACCTTAGTCGGCCCCGGCCCAATACCGGGTGAGGTAACCTTGGGCGATTTCTTACTCGCAAAGGGAGTGGGCAGGCTTTTAAGGGGGGGCGGTACTTGCGGCTTTGTAGGAGAGGATATAGGTGTACGTTTGGTTGCAGCAGGGTTTGCGAGTGAGCTCAGATGGTTGTTACTTGTACTTGTGGTAGTACCTGAGGTTGCTGATACGCTTGGAATGTTCAGCTTCACACTGACGCCTGTGTTGTTGTTTCCTGTGCCGCTGGCGTTCGATTGCGGCATAAGTGGTGATTTTGCGGGGGACTTTCCAGCGGCGGGATTGGGCGATTTCAGAGTGGCTGTTCAAATGGAAAATAAGAGCAAATATGAGCTCAGTGACAATGATTGCGCGACTGCTAATAGGAAAGCACGGCATACACGAAATGAGTTTGGCAGAAGCGTGTACGTAAGATAAAAGTATTTGGGAGCAAACCGATCACCAGAAAAGTGTCCGAAATACTGCGCTGTGGAGGACAACGATTCCGATATCTGATACTGCAAAATGCAGCGCTATTTCAATCGATTTCTAATCGATGCAATGATCAATTATCTCACTGGGAATTAAACAGAACAGTATGTAGATGTGTTCTGGACAGACATATGCTTAGGATATGGAGTAGCTTGCAGATATGATAGTGCATGCGGTTGACATATCAGGACTGTGCGAACTATGAAGTCTCGCTGTAAAATAGGGGAGATTTCAATGATATATTGCCGACAGCTATGAACTACAGCCCAGGTAGCAAGAAGAAGCCAATGACACTGGTGCGTACACTGCACTAAAACATTATATTACAAGTCCACATATCTTGACCTCAACTTCATACGAACACAAGCCAGGTGCCAGGAGTAGATACATACAGACACAAACACTTTCTGAACTAGGACCTTAAACCCCAAAAATACTACAGGTGAAATTAGACACACCTCCTTTTACAGGCGTTTTGCTTTTCAACCTCACATCCGTTCGTTGTCGCTTATTGAGAAAATTGGAGGCCTTCTTCGCACTACTGGCTTTGGCAGCTGGGACAATCGGAGCACTGTTAGGTGGCGATAGTGCGTCTGACTTACGCTTGCCAGGGCGCGCGTCGCTATCATCAGACCCTTCAGCACTCACTGGTGGGGGTGGATTGAGCGTCTTCTCGATAGCTGTGGACAATTGGAATAATTGAATGCGTAATTTCGATCAGAATTAGGGTAGATATGCCACGAATGTGTGGCGCGTACGTGTACTAGTAGCAAAGATTGGTTCTAATTGTCCCAGAACATGCGTTGACATTTTGAGTCACCTGGCTGGGCAGAAGCATTCTTCACCCCGATGGCATTCAGATATTGGATGTAGGATCACATTGGAGGTAGACGGTCTGAAAATTGACCAAGCCACTTTGAGAACTGGATCCAAGCATGTATACTTTTTTCATTTCTCTTGGAGTGCGCGTTTACGCTTATCTAATAAACCCTGCGATTGCCGCTTAATTAAGCAGCTACAAAAACACCGACCCTCATGCGTACAAAATGTTCTAGGTAGAAAAAAAGATACCGACCAATATGCATCCAGTAGACAATCGGCACTGTTGTCGATCACAATAATCGCAGGCTTGACCACTGACAATCCCAGTCCAAATGGACGGACTCCACGAAGGCAAAACAACTGAAACAACGCCTGACGTGAACTCACCTGCATCACTCATCCCTGTTCTCCTAAGCGCGGCCTTTGCTTTTTCCATTACATTTGTCTTGTCTGACTGACTGAACCGTGTGTACCCTGGCTGGACTTCCTTGTAGATCTCATCCCGAAGCTTGTACTCATTCTCACCGATACCCTGAGTGATAGCTATCTCCGACAATAAGGCTGTCAAGTTCGGATCGTCCGTTTTGATGTGCAACCGTGACTCCAATACTTGTCTGTTTGTGGGCCTCAAAGCTAAGAGATGAACCACCCTCTCCCGGAAATTCTTAGCCTGTTTAGAACCGATATATAGCAGTAAAATACTGTGTGAGAGACTCGATACAAAGTCTCAGTTTTCGTCGGTTTATGCACACGGCCAAATGCGGTAAAAACCTCGAGGTGGGCACCAAAAGCTGAAGTGTACATCATATAAACATTATATATTAAGCGCTGAATCTAGCAATGAAGACTTGACCCACACAATGACGACGAGTCAGCTGTATCCACAACACGTTATGAATAAGAACGAGATCGCGCAAGCAGCCCTGACCTACCTCTTCCGCAGTCTTGTGTGCTGGTTTCGATTGCTCAGGCGCTGGAGAGACACTGAGTCGCCCAGTAGTAGTGGTCTTAGCGGTCAGATTGACTCGACCAGACATCGTACCACGAGATACAGCCTGAGGCTTAGTTGTGATTCCTATGGTCTGACTGCTAAATTTGCCATAACCGTGTTTCTCTTTCGGAGCGTCACGCTTGATGATTTGCGTCCTGTGTATAGTGAGATGAGACAGCACGATGCCAGATTAGCTTTGGATCGATTTCGTGGAAGATTAAGACACCAGCATTGACTGATGTCTACGATAACCACATAAAGTACTATACGTATTGTACCTATCGAAAAACACATCAACACCATATACTCTAAAATAGCTTTCTACCTTCTATGCCTGGTAAAAAAATCTAATACCTATATCTTATCTGTCATGACGAACACATTCTTACACCCTTGCCGTAACAAACACCCTGCTAATCGTATAAATTCACATACACTTTGTCGTCTTTGTTCTTCTGTGCCCCCATGGTCCAATCTCGCGTTCTCTGGGCGAGTGATTTCGACAGAGTAATCGGGAACTCTAATCTTGACGAGGTACTCCCGATGCTCTGGAAGTAGTCCGTTCCTTGACGGTGCACAACAGTGTCTCCTAGACGCTTGTTGTCTGGGATTGGCTTCTCTGTGAAGTTCCACACTGAGTCCTCGATTCCTTCCGCGGATAAGGTCAGCGCCTGCAGTATAATACAGTGCATAGGTAGTAAATATATATTCCAAGCTTGATTCAGTTTGTTCTATACCACAACATAAAAGGTCAACTATAGTGTGTAATTTATCACATTGCTCTCTTTGATGCTCGCATCGTCAGACCATGACTAGATAAACAGCATTCATCCATATATAAATGTGCTGCGTGACTCATTGCAGATGTCATTTCTCATCAATGTTAACATTAGACTATTTGGGTCCAATTCAATATAAAGTATCTAAAACACGACAGCACAGTATACCAGATCCATACTCACAAATGACTTGAATATTCGATGCCGTTTTTCTATTTAGAGTCACTTGGGTAAGTAGTACAGTCCGTATACAAATAGCCCTGTTGACTTGCGAACAGAAAAGCTAATATTCAAATCGCAAGAGATTTATGTTCCCTTGGAAATACGAAGCAACCGACCAGAGTAAATATTACAACCTCTTTTTGGACATGAGCATGCAGAAACAACCGTTTGTAACAGAGACTTACGCCTTTCTGTAATCGTTTGCCAGCTTCTGGAAGAGTCAGTGTCATCCGACCTCTCTCCGAATTGGCCATCAAGGCTTGATACATATCATCGTTGATCCTGCAAAAGACAAAATAGTCAACGTTAATAACGCAGGCAACAAAACAGCCGAATCTAAACCAACTCGTAAGTCAGTAGACGACCTACACAAAGGTTCAGCTGAAATCAAGGAATGATAGTATACCATAAACACGAACAATGTTAGACTCAAAATCACACAATACATGAGAATGTTACCCTCTGACCAAGAATATATATATATATATACATACACACACACACACACATATATATATAAATATATATATATATAATAATATATATCTATTCTATATATATATATATATATATATATATATATATATATATATATACTAGTAATATA